AACGCCTCGTTGTTTGAGAGTGTTCCATTGTGTGTGCCTGTGTGTGTGAGTGTGCAAGTGCAAGCAACTTAATAATTTAATTGATTGGAAACTGTGGATGTTGCAAAAATACTCGTACACTAATTCATAATTAATAATCTGCAAAAATGTTTACAGATTAATGATGACTGTCGACAAGGGGTTGCTACTTGGCTGGATGACTGGCTGGAAGGGTGGCTTGTCATCATGGTTGTTGTTGCTGCTGCTGTTGTTGTAACAGTAAACGATTCTCTGGTCGATTTTATTTTTGCCATAAACTCCCCATTGCATGCCAAGTCATGGCAATTGCCAACAAATAAAATCAGCAAATATTGTTGTAAAACATCAGCAACAGCAACAACAACAACAAGGACATCCTCACAACTGTAACTCGAACGTAATCATAATAAACCATACCTGGCTTGAATTGTTTTTTTTTCACATGACCAAGTTATGATGATGAGAGCCCTCCTCACCCTCACCCGCCAGTAAACTTTGCCGTTGAAAGGAGAATATTTTTGTTGCCATAATTTTGAGTTGCTTTTGTTTTTGTCTATTTTCGCAAGTTATTGTCACAGGGAAAAGTTGCTTCCCAGCGGATTGTGTGTACATATGTATGTGATGATATCAGCAAGAATGAGAATATTTGCTTAAATATATGTGGCGTATGCGTAATTAAAAAAAAGAAACGAAAAAAAGTTTGGAACTGGCACATCCTTCAATAAGCAACCCTGGAACGTTCGCTGCCGGTGGATTTGTTTGTCATTTCTCTTAGCAGCCGCTATACCCAAAAGTCATTTCGTTGCCATCCATTGAGCATTTATGGCCAATCTTTTCTCAAATAAGCCTGAAATCCCATTGGGTTCCGCATTCGTTGATTCATTTTCTGCAAATTTGTTGGCAGCGATGCATGTGATGTGGCCAGGAGGTGGCAAATGAAGGTAATTTGAATGTGGGCGGAAGGGGAGGTGGGTTTTTTCGTCAAAAGGGGCCTGGAAGTGGGTGAGATAAAAAACTGCAACAAAGTCAAACCCCATAATTTTTACATTTTTTTTAAATTTTATTGAATGAAAGCAAAAAATATCGGAAATAGCATCAAATTTTCGAATAAGTTTAGATTTGTTCGAATTGGTCACCTTTGGCACGAATTATGGCTTTCAAACGGCCAATGAATCCGTCGCATGCTGCCTGAATATTGCTCTGAGAGATTTTTGGTGGTCATTGTGCGCTGGAAATGAAGCGGGGAACCTCATTTTGTTACCATTCTTGGGTGGCGCGTGCTGAGTGCGATGTTGCTGAGTCCTGTTGGAATATCGAAGGTCTGCGGCCAAAATGTTTGTGGGCTTTAATACACCCTGCAGAATATTTTTATGCCAAAAAAGGCCCTAGTTTAATTGACCCGCAAATTCTTGACAATCCGGCAGCTAAGGTTGTGTGTAAACTGTGGTGAAAAAAAAACATCACACACAAACACACATACCCAAATTTTTTTGTTCGACAATCGCTCTCGGAAACAGTTCCCTGGAAGCCTTGATTTCATCGGGTGTGTGTGTGTGAAAAAAACGTCATCATGCTGAAGTTTAACCAAGTGTTAATAATAGGAAAATCACAAATCACTAACCAATAACACTGGCATCAATAATTAAAAAGTGTGAACGACAATGATTGTGGGAGTAGATTTATAGAGGATGCGTTATTACACCTGCATTGTCAAAGGTAGCCTTTGGGAATTGGAATTTGATTGTTTATTTTTTTGGGCGTATCAGTGCTGAAAAATGAGCTGGGGGTAAAGCCATTGAAATTCCAAAAAGTGTAAGAACTTACACCGCAACAGAAAGAAAATAGACTCAAAAGAGCTAAAGAGTTGTTGGCCGAAAGAGTTCGCATGGCCAAAAGTGGTGAACTGCCGAATTTGGTTTTTTCCGATGAGAAAACATTCCTTTTTCAGCAGTGTGTAATCAAACAAATCGTGATCGTGTTTACTTGCCAAAGAGGTCAGCTGAGAATGTAGACCTTCGGTGGGGCACCAGAATTCACGCGCCGGCCATGGTGATGGTGTGGGCCGCCATAACAGCCGATGGTCGCTCTTCGCTCGTATTAATCGACCGTGGCATCAGAATAAATGCCGAATATTATCGCGAAAATATTCTGCAGGGTGTATTAAAGCCTTGGGCACGCAAACATTTTGGCCGCAGACCATGGACACCCTCGTCGCAACAGGACTCAGCACGCGCCACCAAAGAATGGTTACAAAATGATGTTCCACGCTTCATTTCCAGCGCACAATGGCCACCAAAATCTCCGGATACCAATCCGTTGGACTATTGTGTCTGGAGTATTTTGTAAAGCAAGGGTGGCACTTAAAAATGCCAAAGTGTCGATCGCCTCATGCAAGCGCTTCGCCGGGAATGGGCCAAAATACCACAGAGCAACATTCGGGCAGCGTGTGACGGTTTCATTGGCCGTTTGAAGGGCATAGTTCGTGCCAAAGGTGACCAATTCGAACAAATCTAAACTTATACTAAAATTTGATGCTTGATTTGAAATTTGATGTCGGTAACCCTGCGAGTGTGGCTCTGATATCCCTTTATGATCACAAAGTTTGCCATGCGAGATTTCGAGCTGTTTATGTACCCACACCTTAAGGTTACCTACCCCCTTACGACAGGACTAATTGTGTATGTTTTTATACCCCTTCACCATACTATGGAGGGTATATTAACTTTGTCATTCCGTTTGTAACTCCTCGAAATACTCATGTCAGAGCCAACAAGGTATATATATTCCTGATCAGCGTAAAAATCTAAGTCGATTTAGCGATGTCCGTCTGTCTGTTGTAATCACGCTATCTTTCGAACGAATTGGGATAGAAGGCTAAATTTTTGCACACATGTTTATTTTTCCAGTAGGCAGGTTAAGTTCGTGAATGGGCCATGCAGGTCCACGTTTTCATATAGCCCCCATATATAAGTACCTCCTGATATTCGGTATTTTGATGATTTTATCGACATTATTCACCGGAATTGTTTCAACTTTGGTACTTGAAGTTCGAAATGAATACTACAGCCTATGACAGAAAATTGTCTGTGCAGGCCCATGTCTTCGTATAGCCTCCATATAACGGTACCTCCCGATATTCGGTATTTTCATGATTTTAGCGATATTATTTACCGGAACTATTTCAAATTTGGTATTTGAAGATCGTAACGAATACTACAGCCCATGACAGAAAATCGTCTGTGCAGGTCCACGTCTTCGTATAGGCCTCATATAAGGGAACCCCTCGATATTCGGTATTTTGATGATTTTGGCGTCATTATTCACCAGAATTGTTTCAAATTTCTTATTTAGAGTTCGTAATGGGAACTACAATCTGTGACAGAAAATTGTCTATGTAGGTCCAGGTCTTCGTATAGGCCACATATATCAGTACCTCCCTATATTCGGTATTTTGACGACTTTAGGTACAATACCCACCGAAATTGTTTGAGATGTGGTATTTGAAGTTCGTAATGGATGCTACAGCCTATGACAGAAAATTGTCTGTGCAGGTTCACGTTTTCGTATAGCCCCCATATAACGGTACCTCCCATTATACGATATTTTGACGATTTTAGCTACATTATTCACCGTTTATTTCATGTTTCGAATTTGAATATGGTAATGGTTTATGACAAACAATGCCTATGTAGGTACACGTCGTATGAACCCCAATATAACGGCTATATTCGGTATTTTTAAAATTTTAACAGAATTTTTTAAGGATTTTATTTTTTGAAAATTTCCAAATTTGTTCCAAATGGTGGAGGGTATTCGGTCCTGCCGAACTTACTTACTGGAACTAAGTGGTAACATCCATTTCAGATCACTAAGAGAGCTCTTTTAGGTAAAGATGAGAGACAAGAAAATGGCCAGATTTGGCGAAGATAAATATAAGCTTGCCTATATATTGAGTCACATTAATATCAAGTGTTGGTGGATTTGGGACCCTTTAAAATTTTATTTTTTTTATTGGGATCAACGGCCCAAGGATTGGCGGACAAAGTGTGGGAACCACAACACCAAGTTCCGTTGTCATGATAGTAGTTTTTTTTTTTAATTTCCTGTTTAATTGTTCGACCCCCTAGGGCTGATGTTGGAAAGGTTGAGAATCTCCTGACAATATATGCCACGTGTTGAAACCCCAACATATCGCCGCCGTATTAGGCGTTACGTAACAAATTTGAAATTAAATTCAAATACACTAAGTCCACACACGGATACCGATTTATTTGAACACAACCATTAATACTTTGATCGGCTACAAATTGAAATAAATTATTTTAATTTCAAAATTAAAAAAATAAATAAACAACTCCAATTGAAATTGTAGTCAAATACTTTGAAGTGGCCAACACTTGTTTTTTTTCCTAATTCGTGTCAAAACAACCAAAAAACTGGCCAAACATCAAACCCCCAAAGGCGGAAGACATTCAAATATGAACAGAATTTTGCCAAAAAGTGGAGAAGAAGAAGCAACATTTTTTCTCCCCACAAATCTCTCAGAAGAGTCATCGTTGTTGTTGTTGGGTTTTAGAATTGTGGCCAACATCTGATGGAGTTCCATGTTTGTTACTTGTATTGCTGCAGTTGTTGTTGTTGTTGCTGCGGTTGTAGTGGTGGTTATTAAAGCACTTCAGAATTGTTATTAAGTGTTCGGTAACCCACTTATGGTCGTAATTCGTAGTCGTATTATAACCAAACCAAACCTAAAAAATATATACCATGAAATTTAGAATGGCAGCAAGGGAAGGGAAGGGAAGGGCGGTGGCGGCGGCGGGCAGATGATTGAAAGTTTGCCTGAAATCACCCACCCAAACATGTATGTGTATGCACTTGTGTTATGGCCATCATCAGCCACATCAAAACACACTTGTCGACCATTTATGGTTCCGGCAAAAGTAAGTTTACGACTATAAATACTCTTGGCCAACCAAAGTATAGCATCATTGGCCTATAAGCCAACAGAAGTGTAAACAAAATAGAAATTGTTTCCAATTTGATTTTGTTAAACAAATTTAATAACTTCTGCAAAAATGGTAAGTAGTCCTGGCCAAAACAGGAGATTTGGTAATCATGAGCGAATATTGTCTTTCAGAAATTGTACATAACCTTGTTGGCTTTGGGCCTTGCTATCGCCGTGGTCTCCGCCCAATCGAATGCCATTGATGGCGCCGTGGAAGAACCCAACCAGGAGTATCTGCCACCTGCCGAAGAAGCCGATGCTGCCAAATTAGCCGAAGATGGTTATCGTTACAAGACCATTCGCAAATTGAAATATCGTGCCCGCCATCGTCGCGATGTTTCGCAGGAATATTTGCCACCGGTCAATGAGCCCAGCGAGGAATATTTGCCACCCGTTGCCGAGACCAAAGTTGCCGATGATGGTTACCGTTACAAGACGGTGCGCACCCTGAAGTTGCGTTCCCGCCACCGTCGTGAGGTCAACCAAGAGTACTTGCCACCCGTAAATGAACCCAGTGAAGAATACTTGCCCCCCGTTGACCAGGAGGCCGAGACCAAGGTTGCCGATGATGGTTACCGCTACAAGACTGTCCGCAAATTGAAATTGCGCCATCGTCATCGTCGTGATGTCAGCGAAGTCGAGCAACCATCCAACGAATACTTGCCACCCGTTGAAGTGGAATTGGCTCCCGATCTAAAAACCATTTTGGGTGATGATGGTTACCGTTACAAGACCGTCAAACGTTTCAAGGTTCGCCGTCATCGTCGTGAAGCTGAAGCCGAATCTGCTGACAACACATCGGCCGCTTACCTGCCACCAGCCGAAGAAATGCCCGCCGAAGCTGAGATGGCTGCTGAAACCAAAAGCGCTGAATTGGCTGAGGACGGCTATCGTTATAAGACAGTGCGTAAACTGAAATACCGTCATCGCCATTGAATTACGGCACAAATTACACGCGATATGGACCCACTGACTGGCTTGTGATATCTCATTGGATTTAACGAATTTATTCTAATTCTAGTTTAGTTAGGCAAAACTCTTTAAGAATCGAGCAATAAAAAAAAAGCAACGGAAGGTAAAATTTTTCCAAAAAAAAAAAAACTGGATTTGTTTATTTAAAATTGGGGTACGCAGTCGAAAAAAAACAGGACAAAGACGTTGGTGTGCCCACAAATCTGAGAACGTTTATTATATTGGCAAAATCGTTTCCAGATTCAGATTCAACGCTGATTCTCTTAATGGCGAATTTTCCTCGCGGTACTGCTTTTATATGAGCGCCATTGATGTAAAGTTTCCCTTTTTTCAACTAAAAAATTCTTTGGATTTTCCAGAATTATTATTTTTTTTCGAACCTATGGAGCCCTTATAATCATGCAGTGTTGTATTTTGTTAATCCCTTTAATTGGCAACACTAGAATTTCTATGTGAGACGGTCATCCACCGTATGTTCAGTATTTATTGACAGCTCATTATATTTTTTACAAGCATTTTGGTGAGAATTTTCCAGAAAAAAAGTTATTCGCGATGGAATTCAAGCGTGATAGTGTGATTTCTTTATATTTTGCTGGAAAACCACAAGTGGCTATCGTTAGAGCATTCCAGCATTTAAATATGAATAAATCTTTTGTGTCTCGTACCATCGCTCGTTACCGTGATACTGGCAGCGTAGCCGTAGCAGCGATGTCAAAGAAAGTGGACGGAAGAAAACAGCAACATCAGCAGAAAGGGTTCGAAAAGTAAAGAAGCGACTGAAAATGGCTCGTGAGCTGAAAATATCGCAATATTCCATTCGGCAAATATTGAAAAAATGAGCTTGCGATAAAGCCATTGAAATTCCAAAAAGTGTAAGAACTTACACCGCAACAGCAAGAAAATAGACTCAAAAGAGCTAAAGAGTTGCTTCGCTTGGCCAAAAGTGGTGAACTGCCGAGTTTGGTTTTCTCCGATGAGAAAACATTCATTGTCCAGAACTTTGTAAACAAACAAAATGATCGTGTTTACTTGTCAAAGAGGTCAGCTGAAAATGTGCACCTTCGGTTGGACACCAGGACTCAAGCGCCGGCCATGGAGATGGTGTGGGCCGCCATAACAACCGACGGTCGCTCCCCGCTCGTATTAATCGACCGTGGCATCAGAATAAATGCCGAATATTATCGCGAAAATATTCTGAAGGGTGTATTAAAGCCTTGGGCACGGAAACATTTTGGCCGCAGACCTTGGACATTCCAACAGGACTCGGCATCTTCGCACTCAGCACGCGCCACCCAAGAATAATTACAAAATGAGGTTCCTCGCTTCGCATTTCCAGCGCACAATGGCCACTAAAATCTCCGGATACCAATCCGTTGGACTATTGTGTCTGGAGTATTTTGGAAAACAAGATAGGCACTAAAAAGTACCAAAGTGTCGATCACCTCAAGCAAGCGCTTCGCCGAGAATAGGCCAAAAAACCGCAGCGCAACATTCGGGCAGCGAGTGACGGTTTCATTTTGTCGCTTTAAGCCCAAACTTCGTGCAAAAGGTGATCAATTCGAACAAATCTAAACTTACTCTAAAATTTGATGCTATTTCCGACATTTTTTGCTTTCAATGGTCACCAAAATCTCCGGATACCAATCCGTTGGACTATTGTGTCTGGAGAATTTTGGAAAGCAAGGTTTTCACTAAAAAATACCAAAGTGTCGATTACCTCAAGCAAGTGCTTCGCCGGGAATGGGCCAAAATATCGCAGAGCAAAATTCGGACAGCGTGTGACAGTTTCATTGGTCGTTTGAAGGCCATAATTCGGGCCAAAGATGACCAATTCGAACAAATCTAAACTTATTCTAAAATTTGATGCTATTTCCGACATTTTTTGTCTTTTATTCAATAAAACTTAAAAAAAATGGAAAAATTATAGCGTTTGACTTTGTTGCAGTTTTTTTATCTCATCCTATATAGGGCTTATAGGAAGACCTGGACCTGCATAGAAAATTTGCTGTCATAGACTGTTGTAGCCATTACGAACTTTAAATATCAAATTTAAAATAATTCCGGTGAAAAATGTCGTTAAAATCATCAAAATACCGAATATAAGGGGGTTGCCGTTGTATGGGGGCTATACGAAGACATAGACCTGAATAGACAATTTTCTGTCAGAGGCTGTAGTATCCATTACGAACTTCAAATACCAAATTTGAAACAATTCCGGTGAATAATGTCGTTAAAATCATCAAAATACCGAATATCGAGAGGTAACATTATATGGGGGCTATATGAAAACGTGGACCTACAAGGCCCATTTACGAACTTAACCTGCCTACTGGCAAAATAAATATGTGTGTAAACTTTTATCCTTCTATCTCGATTTGTTCGAAATAATTTTATGCTGATCAAGAATATATATATTTTATTGGGTCTGACATGAGTATTTCACGGAGTTACAAACGGAATGACAAAGTTAATATACCCTCCATAGTATGGTGGAGGGTATAAAAATAGTCCTGTGGTTCGTAGGTCTCCTTTAAATGCACTGAAGTTAAACGACTGTTTAAATAATTCATATTTCTCTAAAATCCTTGAAAATTGAAAAAAGTCTGCCAATTGAATATTTGAGGCCAACTTCGCTGCTATCTGATGTAGGTAAGTTATTTAAAAAAAAAAAAACTAAATACCCTCAACGGGGCGGTTAGCATGTGGTATATCTATACCTTGCACAAAACAGTCCATTGTGCAAAACACACTCACTGTGGTTAGCAATGCCCACTTGTACTCTTTCTTTCTAATTATGTTCCAAAATAAGAACGAAGATCGCATAGGGTTTGCTGTGGACTCTGTGTTTCATTCGTTCGCAATTCAGTTTCTAATTTACATTTGTCGAGATCGTAAGACTGAGCAAATTAACGGATAAGCAGTGCAACATAAAAATAACCTGAAAAATGACTACAACGGCTGTGACCGGTCTTCTCCCCATCATACTTATTTTTCTTCTTGGTCGGACAAAAGGGATTATTGGTGAAGATCCCCAGACACTGTGTCCTTTTAATCAGTCAGTAGTTGTGACAGCCAATGAAAACGGTACTTATATATTCGAAGATTCGGAAATACCCTCAAATTTAGTATTCACAACTTCTTGGCAAAATGCCACCACTGAAATGCGGGTTTGTATCTGTAAGATAAAGCGTTGTTTACCGGTCTGTTCGTCGGACATTGCAGAAACGTATAACTTATTAAAGGATAAAGACATCGATGCGGTTTGTACGAAAAATATAACCTTGAATAACGGCACCACCGCCGAGATGAACCTAATGACGGATTTTCATCGTGTTGTGAAACCTTTGGAATGCCCTGACGAGAACTGGTCATATCTGAATCCCGATATAGGCGAGGAAATTAATTATACACTGTATGAGGTAAGGTCGTACTTCATAGCTAAGTCATTTGCTATTTATATCTTTTGTCGTGTTATTTACAATTAGGTATGTCGTATATCTGGGTACCGAGCGATGACGAACGAATTGCATTGAAAGCTAAGAAATTACATCTAAATTTGCTGCACAAGTTCTGTTCGTAGACTTTGGGTAAAGAAGAAAAAACAACAACAAGTAAACATTCTGAAGATTTGAAGGCCGTTTATAGAAGGGGTGTCAAACGCTTTTTTTAGGATCGAAATATAGGTGCAAAAAAGGAAAATATAGGTCCACTCCATCAAGTGCGTCCCCCAAAAAGGGTCAAAAGTTTCAATAATTTTAACTCTTATAAAGTGTGATGTACGTGTCCGATTGTCTTTAAATTACACGTATCACAGTATTTTAATTAACCCATGGTCTGGTGTAAAAATGGGATATATCGGTCCAGTCCACACCTTTGAGCATCCATGAAGCTCATAAAACACGAAATTGACATCCGATTCCATTCATACTTAGCACATCCAAATATTTACACAAACACGAGCTCCGTTATAAAGATGGTAGAGATCGGACCATTTTTTCTGGTACCTCCCTCACAAAGGTTCAAAGTTTTGAATAACCAAAACAATCATAAAATCCGAAAAAAAGCATCCGGTTCTCTTCACATTTCACACATCTCAATATTTTTATTTACACAGGGTATGGTGCAAAATTGGGATATATCGGTCCACTCCTTCTGGTACCTCCTCCTTTGCTAACGCAAGATCATCAAATTTTGGAATAAGTTTAGATTAGTTCGAATTGGTCACCTTTGGCACGAATTATGGCCTTAAAACGGCCAATGAAACCATCACACGCTGCCCGAATGTTGCTCTGCGGTATTTTGGCCCATTTCCGCCCAGGCGCTTGCTTGCGGTGATCGACACTTTGGAATTTTTTAGTGCCAACCTAGCTTTCCAAAATATTCCAGACACAATATCTGGAAATTAAGCGAGGAACCTCAATTTGTAACCATTCTTGGGTGGCGCGAGCTGAGTGCGATGGTGCTGAGTCCTCTTGGAATGTCCAAGGTCTGCGGCCAGAATGTTTGCCTGCCCATGGCTTTAAGACACCCTCCAGAATATTTTCGCGATAACATTCGGCATTTATTCCGATGCCGTGGTCGATTAATACGAGCGAAGAGCGACCATCGGCTGCTATGGCGGCCCACACCATCACCATGGCGGCGCCTGAGTTCTGTTGGCCAACTAAATGTGCACATTTTCATCTGACCTCTTTGGCAAGTAGACAGGATCATTTTGTTTGTTTACAAACTGCTAGACAACGAATGTTTTCTCATCGGAGAAAGCCAAATTCGGCAGTTCACCACTTTCAGTCAAGCGAAGCAACTCGTTAGCTCTTTTGAGTCTATTTTCTTTCTGTTGCGGTGTAAATTCGTGCACTTTTTGGAATTTCAATAGCTTTACCCCGAGCTCATTTTTAAATATTTGCCGAATGGAATATTGCCATATGTTCAGCTCACGAGCCATTTTTCGGCTACTGCGACGCGGGTTTCGATCAAGTCGCTTCTTTACTTTTCGAACCATTTCTGCTGATGTTGCTGTTTTCTTCCGTCCACTTCCTTGACGTGGGGCTACGCTACCAGAATCAGGGTAACGAGCGATGGTACGAGACACAAAAATTTATTCCCATTGAAATGCTGGATGCTGGTGCCCTAACGATAGCCACGTGTGGTTTTCCAGCCAAATATAAAGAAATCACATTATCCCGCCTGAATTCCATCACGAATAACATTTTTTTCTGGAAAATTCTCACCAAAATGCTTTTGTATGCTTGTAAACAATATAATGAGCTGTCACTGGAATAATTTTAACAGCTGTCGAATGAGTGGCTTAGAAATGACAGCAGTCTGAAGTTGGTTGCACCTTTTTTTTTCTAAAGTGTTTTCTAAAGTGTTGCTTTTCAAATGCCTGTTTATTTATCTGTTTTGTTGTATTCCTTCTAGAATGGTGACCTGTTGGACAAATTTCAGAACAAACACATGGAGTTCTGTTTTGACATAGAATTTCAAGAATGGAACGGTATACCCTACTTTTTCATGGATCCCAAGGTTTGTTACCCACCAGAGTTTTACTGGGATGAAGTGATCACGGGTTGTGGTAAGTGGCATATTGGCGTGTGTGTGTGATCCCCCCAACAAATAATAATGGCATAATCTCACTTGTCAGGGATGCTGGTATCGGTGCCATTCTTTTTACTATCGATTGTCTTCTACAGCTGTGCCTCGATGCGGGTCAGTGTTCACGCCAAATGTATGGTACCCTACTTGGGCTCCCTGGCTGTTTCGTATTCACTCTCAGGTTTTTTGAAGCTCTCCAGTGTGGAGTTGCCGGAATTGGAATGCGTCACTATGGGTAGGTAGTGGAAAACTAGCGGAAAACTAGTTTTGATTCGATTTCATTTTAGGTTACGTCAACTATTTCTGTGTCACATCCTATTTGATATGGAATTGCATCATAAGTTATGATGTTTGGTATAAATGTACCAGGGTGGTGATGAAAGCGTCTTCACGCTTTTTGAGATATTCGATTTTGGGTTCAGTAGTTCCACTGGCAATGACGGCACTGACTTATGCTGCTCAGAACAGTGAAATTCAGGAGAGTTTATTACCCGGCATCAATGCCGAACGGTGCAGCATAGATAGTATGTAATGCTCTGTTCCAGAATCGGCAAGAATCTACTAATTTTGCCTCGGCTTAGTTCGATGCCATAAAGAAATAATCTATTGAGGCCGGTTTACACATTATGTTAGAGTTATGTGTCCGGTGAATTTTTACACATTTATGTTTAGCATTTTTTTCGGCATTTTCCAAACGAAATGTGTACAGGGTGAGATAAAAATGTACAACAAAGTCAAACGCCATAATTTTCACATTCTTTTTTAAATTTTAGCAAAAAATGTCGGAAATAGCATCAAATTTTAGAATAAGTTTAGATTTGTTCGAATTAGTCACCTTTGGCACGAATTATGGCCTTCAAACGGCCAATGAAACCGTCACACGCTGCCCGAATGTTGCCCTGCGGTATTTTGGCCCATTCTCAGATACATTGGTATTTTTTAGTGCCAACCTTGCTTTCCAAAATACTCCAGACGCAATAGTCCAACGCTGCGATGGAAATGAAGCGAGGAACCTCATTTTGTAACCATTCTTGGGTGGCGCGTGTTGAGTCCTGTTGGAATGTCCAAGGTCTGCGGCCAAAATATTTGCGTGCCCAAGGTTTTAATACACCCTCCAGAATATTTTCGCGATAACATTCGGCATTTATTCTGATGCCACAGCCGATTACTACGAGCGGAGAGCGACCATCCGCTGTTATGGCAGCCCACACCACCACCATGGCCGGCGCATGACTTCTGGTGGCCAACCGAAGGTGCACATTTTAAGCTGACCTCTTTGGCAAGTAAACACGATCATTTTGTTGGTTTACAAACTGCTGGAAGATGAATGTTTTCTCATCGAAGGAAACCAAATTCGACAGTTCACAACCTTTGAGTCTATTTTCTTTCTGTTCTGGTGCAAGTTCTTGCATTTTTTGGGATTTTTTTTCTTTAGCCCGAGCTTATTTTTCAATATTTGCCAGTTCACGAGCCATTTTTCGGCCACTGCAACGCGGTCGCCTCTTTACTTTTCGAACCATTTCTGCTAATGTCGATGTTTTCTTCTGTCCACTTCCTTGACGTCGGGCTACGCTACCAGTATGATGGTACGAGAGACAAACGATTTATTCTCATTTAAATGCTGGAGTGCTCTAACGATCGCCATTTCATTATATTCCAGCCAAATATAAAGAAATCACCCCATCACGCTTGAATTTCATCACGAATAACTTTTTTTCTGGAAAATTCTCACCAAAATGTTTTTGTACGCTTGTAAACAATATAATGATCTGTCACTGGAATAATTTAACAGGTGTCGGACGAGTGGGTTAGAAATGAAGGCAGTCTGAAGTTGGTTGCTGTTTTCATCTCACCCTGTATATATAGCTATAGCGGACTTCTTTCTCAGTTGTTAATAAGCGACCAAAACTTCTTACCCGTGATACGCCAATGAACATTTTATTTGTCTACTGTTAGGGTAATTGGATTTTTTTCCAATTTGTAGTAATACCTGATCCACAAGCAATATTCTCCAACATATAAATGACACGGACAATATCTTACGTCAAAAGCATCATCTGACTTCAATAATTATTCGCACCTTCCAATTATCTTTATTTTACCATGGCTCCACTCGCTCAAGTATATGTTCTAAATAAAATATAAATTTGTATTTATTCATACAATAACGTATTTATTAAAGTTCCAATGAACTTCTACTTTTGGTTGCAAGAATGGAATGACAAAATTACAATTGATTTCTTCTATTCAAACAGTACCTTTGCACGATGCTTCTTCTAGTTTCTTTTAAAGTTCACGTCTCTCTCTCTCTCTGTTATGGTTTGTTGTCATTCTCGCTCTATTCATATTTATGCTAGTGACGGTATTCCGTACCAACACTGGGTTTTCTACAATTAGCATGACAAGAGAAAGAGAGTAACAAAAGGGGAATAATAACAAGGAACAGTGTTGTATATGTGGGGTATGTTCAGTTAAAGCTACAGTGATGCTGCCGTAGCGTTTCTCACATAAACAGAGTGAAATCGCGACCGCACATCTTCGCTATTACAATTTACAAACATAATTCTTATGCATTTTAAGAAGCGCGTCAGTCCATGTATGGCCGCTTGTAAAACCGAGCTTTTATTCAAGGATATACGATTTCAATATTCCATAATCCATAAAATCTTTTACAAGTCAATTTCGATTAGCACGATTTGAAGATAAAATGCAAAACAGGCCTTTGCCGTGCTTAGATTTTTACATTCTTTGTTGGTTCTGGAACAGAGAACAAAATATAAATTATTAGTACGTATATATGTATGTTTGTGGACACAGATCGCTAGAGGTCTGTGGTTCTGGTATGCTGTCAAAAACTAATCTATTATCACTGTATCCCTTTTCATAATGCCAACTCCAACTTTAGCGGGCAGCTGGTCAGCTTTAATTTATCTGTATGGACCCTGTATTGCTGCACTGACATTCAGTATTGTGCTCTACGTCCATGTATTATATTATATGAGGGAGTGTGAAAGGTCAACACAAGTTTCGCGTGATACGTAAGTTGGACATTTGAAATTGATGGTCATTGAGAAAAAAATACATTTTATATCATTTTTTTAGATTAATGCTAAGTGTTCGCCTATTCATATTGATGTGCTCCTCGTGGTTGTGCGATGTTATTTCGTATTTTTTGAAAATGTTTTGGCAGAACATACTGTTATACATGATACCGGACATTCTGAATGCCATGCAGGTAAATGTGAATGCAGTTTTTATACCCTAGAGAGGTATACAGGGTGAGATAAAAAAACTACAACAAAGCCAAACGCCATAATTTTTACATTTCTTTTTAAATGTTATTGAATGAAAACAAAAAAAGTCGGAAATAGCATCAAATTTAGGAATAAGTTTAGACTTGTTCGAATTGGCCACCTTTGTCATGAATTATGGCCTTCAAACGGCCAATGAAACCGTCACACGCTGCCCGAATGTTGCTCTGTTTTATTTTGGCCCATTCCCGGTGAAGCACTTGCTTGAGGTATTTTTTGGTATTTTTTTGAGCCAACCTTGCCTTCCAAAATACTTCAGACACAATAGCCCAACGGATTGGTATCCAGAGATTTTGGTGGCCATTGTGCGCTGGAAATGAAGCGAGGAACTTTGGAATGTCCAAGCTCTGCGGGCAAAATGTTGGCGTGCCCAAGGCTTTAATACACCCTCCAGAATATTTTCGCGATAATATTCGGCATTTATTCTAATCCGAGTGGAGAGCGACCATCGGCTGTTATGGCGGCCCACACCATCACCATGGCCGGCACTTTAGTTATTTTGGCCTATCGAAGGTGCACATATAAAGCTGACCTCTTTGGCAAGTTAACAGAGTTATTTTGTTTGTTTAGAAACTGATGGACAACGAATGTTTTCTTATCGGAGAAAACCAAATTCGGCAGTTCACCACTTTCGGCCAAGCGAAGCAACTCTTTAGCTCTTTTGAGTCTACTTTCTTTCTGTTGCGGTGTAAGTTCTTGCACTTTTTGGAATTTCAATGGCTTTACCCCAAGCTCATTTTTTAATATTTGCCGAATGGAATATGGAATATTGCGATATGTTAACGAGCTCACGAGCCATTTTTCGGCCACTGCAACGCGGGTTCCGATCAAGTCGCTTCTTTATTTTTCGAACCATTTCTGTTGATGTTGCTATTTTCTTACGTCCACTTACTTGACGTCGGGCTACGCTACCGAAAAGATTTATTCACATTTAAATGCTGGAGTGCTCTAATGATAGCCACTTGCGGGTTTCCAGCCGAATATAAAGAAATCACACTGTCACGCTTGAATTCCATCACGAATAGCATTTTTTTCTGAAAAATTCTCACCAAAATGCTTTTGTACGCTTGTAAACAATATAATGAGCTGTTACTGGAATAAATTTAATAGCTGTCGGGCGAGGGGCTTAGAAATTACAGCAGTCTGAAGTTGGTACGGCGAAAACGTGCCTCATCGATATAACGGTTGTAGACATTAGATCTCTTTGAACAAAATCCGTTACAGGACATTTGGAGTCGATCTAGCGATGTTCGTCCATCCGTCTGTCTGGCTGGCTGGTTTAGGAATTCACATTAACATTTAAATTTTTCAATAATTTTTTCTAATTGTTTACTTCATTTATTTTAGGGAATTGTTATTTTTTATCTCTGCGTATGCCAACGCCGAAAACTAAGAGCCATGGACCGAAGGTAAGTTGTGTCACATGACGCTGTCAAATACGAATATCTCCCAACTCTAATAGAAGGCATTCTTTTCAGACGCAGAGGACAGGTTACTTCCATCGAGTTCACAACCCTGGTTAGTTCGTAGGTGGTGTGATTTGTTGCGGCAATGTGCCATTTCATTAAAATTAAAAAAAAAAAAAACAATTTTGATGTTCCGTTTTTCCTCCCTTCATGTATTTAAAGTAAAAAATAAAAAAAGTCTCTCTGTCAGTCGGCTAAGCCATGACAGAGATTGTGTTAAAAAAGCATTCAAACAAATTTATCTCAAAGTAATTAATTGGAATCATGGGTTGATGTGTATGTCGGTGTATTTTGAAACTAGCATTTTAATTGATGGCAGATTGATTGTTGAACTTTCAACCAGACTTTAGCAACTTTGTATGTATTCACCTGGCGCCCAATATAATTTAGGGGCGAAGTAGCTATGTTCCAATCAGTTAGGCAGGTCGACATCAAATTTTATGATGATCCCGAAACTCATGGAGTCTGAAGTGCATACTTCAAGGAAATGACAAACTTGTGGTCGGTGGAGGGTATTAAGAAGACAGCTGGCTGTGGACTGTTTGTTCAATTATTCATCTTCCAGCTTACTGTAGAGATTATGATAGTACAAACACTTGGAAATTATTATCGCAAACCAAGTAATTGAAGAAATGTGTCTGAAGGTGTGTAACCACAGATGGCATCATATTTAAGGTGATTTGGAGACCATAAAAGCATTTGGTATTTGTGATGAAAAAATGAGCGTGCGTGTGTGCTCTTGAAGACCATGGTGCTGGCTGATGGAGTAAAGAGAAAGAATTAACCCTTTAAGAGGAAGGCTTGGCTTATGTGTCGCCATGACACCACAATTGTCAAATATTTATGAAACATTACCCAAAATTTGTCTACAACAATGCTGTACTCAAATGAGAGTATGTGATCCCTCTATGAGGGAGTGAGCTGTAGGAAGTAAGATAATAAGAAATTAAAGCTAAAATCTCTCTATACCCTCAGTCATAAGGCTAGAGAGGATATATATCATTTGATACGGCCAAAACGTGCGTCATCGAAATAACGGTTTTAGACCCTAGGTCTCAAAAAAGTCAAGATTTTCAAAAAAAAAAAAAAAAAAAAATGGAATTTTTTTGAGCCAACCTTGCCTTCTGTTGGCCAACCGAAGATGCACATATTAAGCTGACCTCTTTATATAAAATATTAAATAATATTTACATCATGATATTAGGGTCCGATTGTTTTGAAATTGCACACATCACAACATTTTTATTAACCCAAGGACTCGTGTGAAGATGGGATATATCGGTCCACTCCTTATGGTATCTCCCCCACAAAGCGTCAAAATTTTGAATATCATTGAAGCTCATAAAACCCAAAATTAACATCCGATTCCATCAAGACTTTCCATCAACACAAGATCTGTAATAAAGATGGTTGAGGTCCGACCATTCCTTCAGGTAAGTCCTCCACAAAGGGTCAAATTTTGGAATAACAAAAATGATCATAAAATACGAAATTAGTTTCGGTCCTCTTAAAATCTCACACATGCCATTATTTTTACCAACCCAATATCTGCTGTGAAATGGAGATATATCGGCGCACTAATTCTGATACTTCCCACACAAAGGGTTCAAAATTTTGTATAATCAAATCTAACTCGAAATGAACAACCAACTCTCTCTTTAAATTCTCACACATCCACACGTTTTTGCAAACGCAAAATCTGTGTGTGAAGATGATACATATCTACTAACCCATTCTGGTACTTCAACCACAAAGGTTCGCTATTTTCAATACTTATATGTCATAATGGCAAAACAAGTCGGCGATTCTATGCAACTTGCTTTATCTAAATATTTACCTTTGCCAGAAATCTGATATTGAAATTTATGATTTCATATAAAATTCGATAAAAATGTTCGATTTCCTTTAAATTTTGCCATACCAATATATATATCTGTATTAGATGAATTGGAATATTTCGGTCCGCTATATCTAGTACCTCACCCATATTTCCCCATTTTCTAAAAAATTACACATAAATCTCATATAAAGCATGGGAAGCTGACGATATATTCCAAATATGGCACTTTGTAATATTTATATCATACTTAGGTTAGATACGAATTGGACAATATTGATCCAGTGCTTCGGAACCCCCTAAAACATTAAAGGTCAAAAGCTAGAATAATTATAACTCTGCTGGCAAAACTGACTGATACAGTTTAACATGTTTTTTTTTAATAATTTTCTTTTTAAAAAATAATTTTTGAGCCTATTTATATCGTTGCTTAAAAATTATTAAATGAATTAAAATTCAATGCGAGAAAGTTATTTCAAAATTCCCTTAAGAATGTCTCTTTCATTATTTTGCCGATCTATGGATAAAACCACTTAATGGATCATGTTAGACTTATTACTCAAAGTACCACAATTCAACAAAATATTATAACAACTGCAGTAAACTCTCCATAAAACTCAGCCAAAGAGAATCTTTCGTTTTCATACCAATTACATCAGTTTATTTATTTATTTATTTATTTTTTGCTCTTTTGTATTTACAACACATATTTTTGACTGAAAGAGAGTATTTGACCCATACAACATACAACCAATTTTATCTGTGCCCCCCCATATACTTAAATTGGTGTGTGTGTGCGTGTGAACTCTCGCCCACAACAATTTACCAACTACCACAAATGTATGAACAATTCTCTGCTAATTTGATAAACATCGAGAGAACTACACATTGGAGAAAAGAGTATGGCGGTGTATTGTTGTGAGCAAGTGGTTGGTAGAGATTGTAATAATCTCAAATATAATGCACTTGAACCGGGGATGCTAAAAGGTATTGAAGAGAAATTTGACATACACTGGAGCCCCTGCTTACGTCATTAATGGTGTATTAATGACACATCAAGTCACATATATCAAAACAATAATATATAATTTATTGTTGCAAATATTCAAAAGAAAGAAAATATATTTTTATTTATTATTTATTTGTGATGGAGAATTGGTGAGAATTCTCCAGAAAAAAACGTATTCGTGATGGAATACAAGCGTGATAGTGTGATTTCTTAATATTTGGCAGAAAACCACAAGTGGCTATCGTTAGAGCACTCCAGCATTTAAATGTCAATAAATCTTTTGTGTCTCGTACCATCGCTCGTTACCGTGATACAAGGAAGTGGACGGAAGAAAACAGCAACATCAGCAGAAATGATTCGAAAAGTAAAGAAGCGACGCAGTGGCCGAAAAATGGCTTGTGAGCTGAATATATCGCAATATTTCATTCGGCAAATACTGAAAAATGAGCTCGGGGTAAAGCAATTGAAATTCCAAAAAGTGCAAGAACTTACACCGCAACAGAAAGAAAATAGGCCGAAAGTGGTGAACTGCGAAATTTGGTTTTCCGCTGAGAAAACATTCGTTGTCCAACAGTTTGTAAAGAGGTCAGCTAAAAATGTGCACCTTCGGTTGGCCACCAGAACTCAAGCGCCATCCATGGTGATGGTGTGGACCTCCATAACACTCGATGTTCGCTCTCCGCTCGTATTAATCTACCGTAGCATCAGAATAAACGCTGAATATTGTCGCAAAAATATTCTGCAGGGTGAATTAAAGCCTTGGGCACGCATACATTTTGGCCGCAGACCTTGGACATTCCAACAGGACTCAGCAACATCGTACATCGTACATACGCCACCCAAGAATGGTTACAAAATGAGGTTCCTCGCTTCATTTCCAACGCACAATGGCCACCAAAATCTCCGGATACCAATCCGTTGGACTATTGCGTCTGGAGTATTTTGCAAAGCAAGGTTGGCACTAAAAAATACCAAAGTGTCGATCACCTCAAGTAAGCGCTTCGCCGGGAATGGCCCAAAGTATCGCAGGGCAACATTCGGGCAGCGTGTGACGGTTTCTTTGGCCGTTTGAAGGCCATAATTCGAACAAATCTAAACTTATTCTAAAATTTGATGCTACTTCCGACAGTTTTTGCTTTCATTGAATAAAATTAAAAAAAAATAAAATTATGGCATTTGGCCTTGTTGCAGTTTTTTTTTATTTCACTCTGTACACATTACACACAAAGGAAAATTATGCTTGTCGAATTGGAAACTACGAAACGATGCAAGTCGGGGCTCTAGTGTAATATTAAAATACTCTTTCGCGGTTTTCAAACAACAGTAAATATGCAATGGAAGAGAAAATGGTGTGCTTGATAACCGTCCAAGCTCATTCCACAAAAAAAACCTGCACTAAATAAACAACATCCGTTGTAAATGCAAACAAAGAGAGAATTCAAAGTCAGAGAGCCTCATCTAAAAAATAAAGCAAAGAGACCATAACGCTGATGAGTTGGATATGTTTCACTCTCATACCGCCAAACATTGAATGAATTGCTGACGTCTCGTTGCAATGCCTTTTATTATTGTGATGCTGTTGTCGTTTCGTTGTTGTTTTCACTCGATGTCCGCCAGTGTTTTTAGCGTTAAACAATTATCCGCAATAGAGTATCTCACAAAATTTAAATGATTGCTCGTTCGTTGCTTGCCAATAAAGCAAAACAATTCAACAACAATAGCCACTGGAAATTGTTTATTCGTTTTGAGTGAGTACATTGTGTGTTGGGCTATTTTTATTATAAACAATTGATTTGATAGATGTTGGAGCAAAGAACCCAGCAACTGCAACAGCAGTTTCTGTTGGTAGGTGGGTTGGAATGGTTGTTCTGTGTGTGTGTGTGTGTGTGTGTGTGAGAGTTAGAGTGTGATTCTATGCTGGCTGACGGGGAGGAGGAATTTAGTTGCTGATTGTTAAGATACTGGTGGCTGATTGTTCTGAGGACAATTTTAAGAATATTCAACAATGTGTTGTGGATAATGGTGGTGTTTTTTCGTGGTAAGTGTACGCCAATGGTATTTTTGAAATTTAAATAAATGGGTAGGTAGGTACTTTTTTGTACGGCACTCTGTGAATAACTTCAACAAAACGTTTAAAAATTTCAAATCCCCAAAATGATCGAAATAACGATGGTAGATTATGTGACTCTTTGGATGAAATCTGTGACAGGCAAATAAAATATCACGTAGAAATCTATTTTAGAAAGGGACTGGCCCCCTTCTGGTCTCTTTTGGTAAATTTTGAATGGAAGAGACTAAAATAGTTTGATCGATTCAAAATTGTAAGGCACTGCTATGTTCTAGAATCTGCAAGAATTAACTAATTTTGCAATTTTTTCG